GAAGAAAGTCTGAAAACAGCCTGAACAAAGCATGAAAACAGCCTGAACAAAGCATGAAAACAGCCTGAACAAAGTCTGAAAACAGCCAAAAAGAAGCCTGAGAATCTGCCTGAAAACGCCACACACAGCGTTAATACTGAAGTTTAATTTGCCCCTCAGATTAACAGACAGATCTTTCAGATTAACAGACAGATCTTACAGATTTTACATTATGACACTTCCTATTAAATATATTTTTACTCGCCTGCTAACTTACTAGTGTAAACAACCAAATATGACAAAATTGTTTGTTGAAATCTATTCTAAAAGCTAAAAGAAGAAAAAACAGTGTCTGTGTTGCCTCTCTCAACCCTTTGTGTCTGCTGTGTGATGGTAAATTTAAATTCCTCCACTGTGTGGTGCTAGTTATACAGCTTAAAGTTTTAACTGCAGGAAATTCATTAAATCTTGTTTGTGTGAATTAAACACTTTTTCTACAGTGCAAAAACATTTTAAAGAGCCAAATGTATTAAAATTGACATTAAAACTAAAATAAACCAACATTATTTTTGTTAGTAACAAACAGTGAAGACTTATCCGGCATCGTATTCTTATAAAGATGTAATATTTTGCTTTGTGTAAACTTTCTTGATATTCTCCTGAATTAAGCTAATTTAAAAAAAAGTTATAGTTAATCTAATCTTAATTTATTATTTAATACTAACCTTCTTCACCAGGAAATCCCAGTGAGGTCACAGATCTCAAGTGAGGCCTGAAAGCAGCCTAACATGCAGGTTTTTGGACAGTGGGAGGAAACCGGAGAAAACCCACTTCCACACAGAACGAGCCCGGTCCAACCCGGGAACTGAACCCAGAACCTTCTTGCTGTGAGGCAACAATGCGAACCACTGAGCTGTCATGCTGCCTTAAATTAAAGCAGTGGGTTTCATTGTGAGGGCACTGTTGTTGTATAGTTCCTGTTTTGGCTACTGTTCTGCTAATCGTAACTTTTGTTTGTATCATTTTAACCGAGTTTCAGCTTCTTCAGCAAACTGCAGCATCACATGAACTTTTGGCTAAAAATGACATTTCTCTAGTTTATGTTGGAGTTCATATTTTGCATTAAATATTGTTAATAAAAACCTGTTCTAAACATTTGATTAACTTTAAGACTTTGTTAGCAAGTATGCTAACAATATTTGGCTGATTAACAAGTCATTTAGCTAACCGTTTAGCTGTTGAAAAAAAGTCTTTTGCACTTACAATTTCAAGCAGACCTGCCACAACCAGACATTCTAGCTCTATTTGTGGCGTCAGCATGCTAGTTTAGATTTTTAGCTAACGTTTATTCAAATTTAGCTTTTAGTAACTTACTGTTCTGTTTGTTTTAGCTTTTCAGTGATATGCTCATTTTAGCTTGTGTTCTGTTCATTTGATCTCATATTCCTTGTTTTAATTTGTGTTCTGCATATTTTAGCTTGAATTCTGTTTGTTTCCGCTTGTGTTGTTCATTTTAGCCTGTTGTCAGTTTGTTTTAGCTGGTAGTCTGCTAGTTTTAGCTTGTGTTCTGTTGGTTTTAGCTGGTGTTGTTGGTTTTAGCTTGTGTCCTGTTGGTTTTAGCTTGTGTTCTATTGGTTTTAACTTGTGTCCTGTTGGTTTTAGCTTGTGTCCTGTTGGTTTTAGCTTGTGTTCTGTTG